CCGTTCTCCCAAGCATTGCAAAACGCACTTGTAGGCCGCCTATTGACCCCCCCCACCTCCCCATTCTAGATTCTAGTGGGGAAACAGGCTTGCAGGCAGCTTTCCGGACAACTGCGATTGCATGTGCACTTCATTCAAATGCATTACAGTACATTTCGCAACACCGCATTGAATTGCATAGAAATACATGCACGTTTATAATGAAGGGTGCGGTGCCAGTCTGGGCAAGCTTTGCGCAGTGCTTGCCTGACGCCCCAATTGCCAGCTGAAAGGCAATCATCTCTTCATTCTGGTCCTTCTCGATGCCAGCTGGATCGCTGATCCTTAGGCCATCCGACTGAGTTCTGGTGAGAACATGGATGGCCGCTTCAAGCATGGCCAATCTTCCAAAAAGGAGTGTATAACGGCGGCCTGCCAAAAATGAAATCGAGCAGCGCTTCAACATGCTCGCATGCACGATGCTCGGCAAAAGGGGAATCGGAACTGAGCCGTGTGAAGCACCTGCTACTGAGTAGCTTGACATAGGCTTTAACATGCAGGACGCACGTGCAATAACACCATGTGCACAGGAAACAGCATATGCTTGCCGTCGTTCAGGCGGGTTGAATCATGCAACACTGAGTTTGGCACCATTTCCTACCTGTACTTAACATCCTTGAGCTAACTTTAAAACCTCGCAAATGCGCCAGTCCCTTTAGTACCTGTAAATGCGCCAATCACCTTAGTACCTGTAAATGCGTCAAGTGAGCATGTGAGCGTGTATGCGTCAAGTCGGCGAGTTCATGTTGCACGTGCACAATGTGAGGATGGGTGGGCGGGAAAGGTCGATAGAGGATGATAGGCATGGGCGTGGCCGGCTGATTCATCCTAATCAAATCGACTCGCCCCTCCCGAGCACCCCGCACAACCAACCATCATCAACCATTGTGGCAAACAAAGCAACACTCAACTGCCAGGTCCTTCCTATGAATGCCAATCCCTTCCGGAACCACTCTCTGTCCATGCGTTCTTGCCGAGCGACATCAGTGCTACTTCCTTGCCTCGGAGACGTGAAATCAGGCCCGCCACCAGGCCAAGTCGGAAGGAGCAAGTCTTCCTTCGCAGCTGGCACGCATGCGCAGGCTGATGGATGGCAACAGCCAAATCGAAAAAGAGAACAGGGTTCCGATACAACTACTCTGCCTGGAAAGCTGGCCACGGAGCAAATCAAACAAGGCGATGGGTGAGGCATCTCTCTCGACACTGGATCAACACAACGAGCTCGACCGCAAGTGCTGAGGCTGGCCTCATGGTTGGAAAGGAAGAGGTGTGGCCATTTTAGCCAAGTCTGTTAAACTTGCGAGCAACTTGCAAACACAGCCCTGGCAGCACGTCGCCCCCAAGAATTTCAATGTTTGGAAGCTTTGGCACGGCCTTAAGCAACTTGCGGCGCAGCTTGCTCGCTGAGCAGCTGAAGCATCTCTGAGGTCATGATCTTGCCGAAGTCGGTGGCCAAAGCAGCCAGCGGGACCTTACACAGGCACGCACGCACACACCCACACACACAATTGCAAGCAGCTTGTCGCCTTAAGGCACTGCCCAGAGAATGCAGCTGGCTTCTCAGCGCGCCAAACTGAAAGGCTTGAGAACTGTGGCAGCTGCCTCAACCTGCATTCCCTTTCCCAGGTCCAAGGCGTGCCACCAGTTTGGCCTAAATCTGTTAGCCCAACCCTTGGAGTATCTAGCTGAATCGAGCTTTCAAGTGGCACATTTACACATCCGAGTTTGCAACCTGGTGGCTAGACTGGGAGCTCAACAAGCGTCAGGATCAAAGCACCCAAAAACACTCCCTATAGGCTTTCACATAGAATCGGGTTCTTCATGCTTCTTGAAGCAGGCTCAGGAAGCATCATCCGTAATATTTTGTTTGTTGCCATCCGCTTGGCCAATCTAAACAAAATCCAGCCAGGTGTCGATGAAGGATACGATGTCCAAACACTCGTCCTTCAAGCTGCTCGTAAAGCTTTCACCCTGCGCAATCAAGACTTCGACTGAAGTGAATATGGGTTTGCGGAACCCTTAAAAGGGTGGGATTGGGTCGGTTCTCGTTGTTTCCCGCTTAAACTTACGGCAATCAGCAAACTACAAACGTAGCCATGCTGGCTTTCCACCAGAATCAAACATTCTGAAACACTGAACATCACTGATCCCTTTCACACAACTCATCTTCACAGCTCAGCCATGCAGTCCGCACGTGCCTTGGTAAAATAATTCAAAATGGGGTTGCCGATCCAGTATGTCAGCAAAAGCCCAAAGGAGTCGCACTTGGCCCTGTGCAGCGATCCATAGCGATCATAGATGATACCCACCAGGATGCCTCAGCGAACAAAACTAGAACAACCAACTTGCAAATTGCAAAGAGAGAGCGGACGATTTTAGTGGCAAAGGCAAAGGCTGGACAAAGCAGGACTTGATTTTTACACACTTCATGCCCATCTTCTGCCGAGCAGCCATAGAGTACCTCGGACAGGGAAGGAGAGTGGCCGTTTGGTGGTTTAAACAGGCTGAACCAACCAGTTCTGGTGAGAACCCTGTGATCGCCCTGCTTGCAATTGCGGGTTGCATAAGCTAAAGCAAGTGATTGTGGAGCACGCTTAGAGGAAAAACACACGCAGCCACTTAGATGTGATGTCTGCGGCATGAGTGCCGCACTCGGACTCGTTTTCTAGGCCCTGGCGCCGGCCCTTGGTGAGACAAAAGGGAAGCTGAAGTACCAGGAGCGTCATTCAATGCCCGCCGGACGCCACCGCCAATGTTTCCCAAGAGCTTGCTGAATGCCCATGCTCGCACCAAACGGCATGCGGCACACCGATCGATTCCAAGCTGGTCATCGCTGCCCTGCTTGAAGCACGAGCTGAAAGAACCTCGCTGCCACACTTTGGAGATCTTTGTCAGCGAAGGCTTCTGAACTCAGAGGCAGCTCTAAGTGAATAGGCATATCCCGAAAGCAGCGACCTGCAGCTTCTTTTTTGGAGGCAAACCTTCCACTTGGAAGGGTTCCAAACCTGTTGGCATCTGGGCAGTTGGCCAGTTTTCGCGCCTCAGGTGCAGCCTTCCCAGTGGAAGGTTGCTACCTCCGTCTCACCCAGGCAAACCCGAACAGAGTAGCACCGCATGCTGGTTCTGGACCACGCCTTGCAGCGGCAAGCTATCCGCTGCCCCGCGGGAAGCCACAAACTGTCCTCCAAGAGCTTGACGTACGTCGTGGACCACGTTGTCTCGCTTGACAGCGTGTCAATGGATGTCAGCTCATCCAGCTTCACATGCAAATGGAAGTGCAAGCCGTCGAAGAAGCCAGGCTCCTCCTCAAAGCCAAAGCATAAAACACAGCCAAACATACTATGAAATACGCCAAATCAAAAGGACCAAGCAACAAGCATGCAAAGGCTCTCTTGATTGACCAGGCTTCCGTGACAAACACAACTTCTCTTTCTTGCTCGCTTTTCAGGTCAGAGTTAAACTCCAGCCACTCAAAGGGCTGCGGAGCTGCCATGAGGTAGACGGGATCAAAGCACCTTGTGTGGTACTTGGTGTTCGTCCAGATTCCCGTCTCGCCGTTGAATGCTGTTTGAAGCACCTGCCGATGCGCAACGGCAAAGTGTCGCAAAATGCAAAGTGAAACCGCTCATGAGTCCGGAGTGTGATTCTATAGTTCTTTGGTAGGTTACCCTGAAACAACACTTTGGTGCATGGGTGGCGCATGGGTGGCGCATGGACGTGCATGATAACTTGTTGCGGATAGAATAATCTGCGAGGAGGGTTGACTAGGGCTGGTATGGTTCAGGGTTGGTTTGACAAGATGTTCATGTGGGTTTAGGGCTCTTTAGGGTGCAAGGTTGAGTGCTTCAATTCGGGGCCACTTCCCGCCTGTTCCAAAGCACTGAGCTGCAGCCGGGCAGTTGGTGCAAATAGGGTGCCAGCAGCACAAGGGATAAAGCTGCAGCCAGGCCCTTTACCTATCAAGTCCGTGATAGCTTCAATGACTCCTTCCGAGCTGGCCACGTGACCCAGCAGCTCATGGATCACTAGATCATGATCGACCGAGGTCAATGAAAAAGAGGACCCGTGCTGCAAGGTCAGCTCCGACTTGAAATCGCCGGACAAGGTCACCGTGTACGTCGGCCCCGCTTCGACGGAGCGCTCCAAGGCCACAAGTCCAGGCCTCACCACCGGGAAGGAGGCCACACAGCTGGGTACCTGCAGGGCAGGCCTCCTGAATGAAAACATCCGACGCACCCGTTTCGATGCAAATGGGATTGCGAAGCCATGGTTCAAGCGGGCAGGTGTGCATCTGTTGGGAAGCAACAATGTTTGTGCACTCCCGATCATGCTCAATAACCTTTGTAGTAGTCCATCATCTCCTGTCGAGTTGACGTCCAAACCTGAAAGTGTTTTTCATTCATGCGCCCAGGAACCTCCAAGGGCCCTTCCAAGTCTTTGCCCCCCTTGTAGCCTGTTCATCCGCAAGGACCTAAGCCCAGGGATGCCTTTAGTGGAATACAGGACCCACCGCTTGATGTCCGCCAAAAACATACTCACCTTTACGCTGCGATGTTCTGAGAGGGAATGGACATCTAGGTTGCCATTGTTCGTCCAGATTGCCATTTTATGGGAGTATCCAAAGGGATCAATCCCCTTAAATCTGGGTTGTTCAAAATGGAAGTCATTCCCTCATCCTACCCTGAAACCACCATGTGTCATAAGGATCTTGCGGATGGGTTTTGACCGCAACACATACTCTTCCTCAGAATTAGGGACCCCTCCTTCCTGGTGGCTTTCCTTGTGCAACCACTACCACGCCGTCATTTCGAGCAATCGCAAAATAGAACTCCCTGCCCGTCCTCTCCCTGCCTGCCTGAGGGCTTCTCAAAATGGTGGACCCCCTTTCGTAAAGTGAAGTAATGTGAAACCAGCGGTTGAAACCAACCGTTTCTGACGAGAAACCGGGCCTCTCCCCGCAGCTCCCGGCGTAGAAGGTCCACGCTGTGGGCCCAAAGGTCGCTGCTGAGCTCCAGTCCCAGCACCTGCCGCGCGCCGGACTGCACAGCCATGCGGCTCAGCAGGCAGAAGGGGCCACTGCCCACCTCCAAAACCTGATTTCGAAAGAGCGAAGAGCGACTGTTGAAGCCGAAGCTCCAATCCAGACTCGAGTTCAAGCTGAAGTTCCAATGAAACATGCGAAAGGGACGCCTGACAATGGTTGTCATTCTGCAATTGTACTCCTGCAACTTGCGGATCCTGCAGTTTCGGATGCGGCAGCCTGAATTTTATCAGCCAGGCTCAAAACACCAAGCTCCCCGAAAGGCCTGCTTGACAAAGCGACGCTTACGCCCCATGTTCAGATTTGGCTGGCAGTCGGGTGCGTCCGTTGGTCTGAACTATGCTGTCATCAGCAAATACGGTATTCGTACCGTATGATTCGTATAATGCGCTGAAATAAATATTGTGCAACGGACATTTCACCTCTCCCCCTCCTCCCTCTCCCCCTCTCCCCCTCTCCCCTCTCCCCCTCTCCCCTCTCCCTCTCTCCCTCTCCCCCTCTCTCCCTCTCCCCCTCTCCCCTCTCCCCCTCCCCTCTCCCCCTCTCTCCCTCTCTCCCTCTCTCCCTCTCCCCCTCTCTCCCTCTCCCCCTCTCTCCCCCTCTCCCCCTCTCCCCCTCTCTCCCTCTCCCCCTCTCCCCTCTCTCTCCTCTCTCTCTCTCTCTCTCCCTCTCCTCCTCTCTCTCTCTCTCTCTCTCTCTCTCTCTCTCTCTCTCTCTCTCTCTCTCTCTCTCTCTCTCTCTCTCTCTCGCTCTTTTTTTTTTTTCTCTCTCTCTCTCTCTCTCTCTCTCTCTCTCTCTCTCTCTCTCTCTCTCTCTCTCCCCCCACACCTTCTTGCCCTGGGCCGCACGCTGGATAGCCTGCCAAAAGGCCTGCACCCGCACTTGGTCTTGGACCATGTCCTAGGGATGCAACTTTGCGAACCCGAGTGCCAAGTTCTGCCATTTGCTTTTCACACTGCGCCTTGACCCAATGCTTTTTTTGGAGTTTGACATCAATAATGGGGGCGCATCATCGAAACAACAGCACTCCAAATGGCTGATGTCATGTCTGCTCCCTGGGCCCTGGGTGGCTCCGGCTAAGAAAGGCTTGCCCATTGTAGCTCATACCGTGGTGGCTCTGGTTTGGTCGTGGTCGGATATCTTCGGTCACCAGTTTCAATCCCATCCCAAATTCGCCTGGTGGTTCTGCAGCTTGTACTGCGCGTTGTGCGTGTCCACATCGTTCCCGTGGCGGCTCGTGGCCCGCAGCACGGTGCACCGCCGCTCCGCCGCCGTCGCTTCGGCGTCGCCGAAGCCGGCGGCGGCCAGGCCTCGCCGGGCCGCCGCGGCCAGCAGCCGGCGGCTGCGCCGGCTGGCCACGGCCTCCTTAAACCGAGCAACCCACATAGGTCAGGCTCGTATTCGAATAACGGGCTATCCTGTATGATCATGGTCACCAACTAAGTGGGATGAGCATTCCAAGAGGTGAACGTGGGATTTGCCTTTACATAGAGGAACAACCCACCACTATGACTAAAATCTGCTTTCTGGGACGGCCTGCCAAGACATGGTACAAGTGTAAAGTCTTCCGGAGTTGTTGCTTTATCTCCTCCTGCACCTCTGGCTTTCCAACTGCATAAACATGAAGCAAAGGACTTCCAAATAAGAGAAAAGAGATCTTCATCATGGATGATCTCGTTCGACCCCCAAATCACATGTCCCCTTGAACGTGTACCTGCTCATTGCACCCCTTCGCCCGCATTCTCTGCGCCGTCCTCCTGAACCTCACAGCTTTGCAGCTTTTGCCAGGAGTCCTCCTGCGCAGGGACAGGCACCAGCCAACCTGTGGCATTGAATGGCAGAATGCCATCTATTCCCTCTTTTTGAACCTGCCCAACCCCTTTTGGGCTACGATTTGACATGACCTCCTGATTGCCACTTGAAAACATTGTAATCTCTTCCACCTATCAATGCACGGACCCTATGAACAAATATTGTGTTTTCTACACCCCGAATCTCCAAATCTAAACGGGATTTTTGCAATGCTGAGCCAATTCTAAACCACCAATTCTTTCCAAACGCCTCCACGGGCAAGGGCCGAGATGGAATCCCTGGCAAGGCCCTAGTACCCAATCAATACGCATCTTTGGCCAATAAGGGGGCTGTATTTTATGATCAGGGGCAGCCAGTACCGTCACTGGTAGGCAGCCTCCGCCTGCCGCAGCTCGTGAAGCAGGTTCTTCAGCTCATGCCTCTGTTTCTGGCGGGATCTGCTGCGGCTGCGGCTCATGCCACATCGATGGCACAGTGAACGAAAATAATCAGATGTTTGAGAATGGCTTGAGCCTGAGTGCCGCCTTGCGTTTGTTGCGTCTGGCGCGAAATGCCTGGTGGAGGTTCAGTCTTCAGGTAATCAGCGCCCCTTACATTGTATGACGTCC